AAGTTTTTTATATGTACATTTGTTTATTTATTTTATTATGACATAACTCTTAATTTGATTTAATTTAATTAATTATGATAATTATTTTAATCGATTTTAAATATTTTTTAAATATATTTATCTAATTTAATAGTGTGCAACTATCTTTGACAATATACCGCAAAGCATTTTAATTTTTGTTCATATGAGTGCTGATTTAAGGCTTTAAAAAATAAATTCATTTTGTGATAACAATTGTTTTACTCAGGTTATATTTTGATTTTCAGAAATATCCTGTAATATGAATTCTCAGTTACCTTTCCCTTCGTTTTCGAAAAAAATTGAAACTCGAACAACTACTGACATTTATCTTGTTGGGTCTGTTTCTCCAAATATTTCTGGGATGAAGCTTCCAACATGTCGTCAAGTTCTTGCATTATTTTTTCATCTTCACAAAATAGAAAAACAAACCGTTAGACAAAGTGCAAGGTGTGTCATTCGAGAATTATTTCATTTGTGGAATATGGCAAGAATTCCAACAACTATTGAACGTAATGCAATTGAAAAACTTGAAAATATTTTTTACAAATGGGCTAAAATAAAGAAAAACATGAAACGAGCTTTGGCAACTCAAACAGCAAATGAAAATGTTTTTTGTTAAGAAACTGATTACATTTTTGATATAGCACATGCTGATGCTATGAGTTTGATTACAATTGAAGAAGACAGACTATTTCTAATAGATCAGCGAGGTGAACGTAAGGGATACATGGCCGGAGTTGACATGGCATTGGCAAAAACAGAAGAACGTGTCCAAAAAAGAAAAGAATTAGAAGAGTCCAGACGTTTTCAGGAAAAAAAGCGAAAAAAAGAAGCTGAAAATACAAGTCACATTGATTCAATGCACCTATCTGACAAGTCTACATCTGGCACTGAAACCTCAGATGAAGAATTTATAAAACCAAAGAAATCTAATCAAAATGTTGTAAAAAAGCGATCGCGATCCTAAAATATCATTTCACCTGAGTTAGCATCTGCTCTTGACCGAACCAACGTCACGGATCGCCAAGCGACTTATTTACTGGCAGCTGCAGCAAAAGGTTTAGGTCATGACATTACAGATTTTGCTATTAGTCGCGATACGATCCGGAGAGCTAGAATTACTAATCGAAACAAAATTGCTACAACCATAAAGTTTGCATTCAACTCGTCAAATGTTCCATTGACTGTTCAATTTGATGGCAAAATATTGCCAAATATTACTGGAAGAGATTCAGTTGATCGATTAGCAGTTGTTGTTACAGGTTAAAACGTTGACCAGCTTCTTGGCATTCCAAAGTTAACAAGGGGTACTGGTAAAGCAATAAGTGAAGCTGTTCTAACAACTTTACTAGATTGGGACATTCAAGACCGAGTTAAAGCAATTAGTTTTGATACAACGGCTGCTAACACTGGTACCGAAGCTGGAGCGTGTACTTTAATTGAAAAAAAGCTTATAAGAGAACTATTACACTTGGCATGCTGTCATCATATGTATGAAATCGTCTTGAGTGATGTTTTTAAGCATTCTCTTGGGCAATCCAGTGGTCCTGAAATAGGATTATTTAAACGTTTTCGTGACAAGTGGTCATTAATTGACAAAAATAATTATATAACAGCGTTAAATGATCAAACATGTTCGGACATTTTGGCTTCTCACACCATACTCAAACAGGATGCACTATTTTATTTGAAAACAATTCTTGAATGTGGTAAACAATATCGAGATGACTACAAGGAATTGTTGGAACTAACCTTGTTGTTTCTTGGTGATGTTCCTCCTCGTGGGGCTCATGTAATGGCTCCCGGAGCCATACACAGAGGAAGGTAGATGGCCAAAATTTTATATTTAATGAAAATATAGATATTCAAAAGGCAGTTCAAATTAACGGCAAAAGAAGAAAAATCACTTCGAGGTATTAGCTTGCTTGCTAGTTTGGTGTACACCAAATTTTGGATATCATGTACCAATCCAACACTTGCTCCGTCGAATGATCTCACTTTCTTGAAGACTGTTTTTCAACATAAAGCCATTAACAATGGAGTTTTTACAGCTGCTGCAACATCATTTTCGAGGCATTTATGGTATCTAAGTGAAGAAATGGTAGCATTGGCTTTTTTTGATAAGGAGATCAGCAAGGAAACAAAAGCAAAAATGGTTTTGGCTCTACAAAATGCTGGAGAGTATGAACCACAGAAAAGAATAAAAATCGATTTAACTTCAATTGAAAATCTGCAAATAGAAAGTTTTGTAACAGAGAATACCTTAAATTTTTTCAACATTTTGGAATTACCAACTACTTTTTTGACAACTGTTGATCCTGACAAGTGGACCGAAAATGAAGAGTTTCAACAGGCAGAAAAAATTGTTAAAAGTCTACGAGTTGTTAATGATACGGCTGAAAGAGGATTAAAACTGATTCAAGATTTTAATTGTTCAATTACCAAAAATGAAGAACAAAAGCAATTCTTGTTGCAGGTAGTCTCTGAACGCAGGTCAAAGTTTCCTCTGCCACAGAAATCTTTGTTGATCGATGGAACTAAGTCATCAAAAAACGATGGAAACAAAAACCAATGAATTTTTTTTCATAGATTACAATAATTTTTTGCAAAGAAGCTGAAATATAAATGAAACCTAAAACTCTAACAATTTTTAAGATTTTTTGGAACTATTATTGTTTTTTAAATTTGTCTTTACTATAGTGAACACAAATACGTTATTATAAACCAGAAGTTTAATACTTTATTCTTCAATTATTTTATTTGTAAACAATAATATATATAATTCAGTTTAAAAAATACTGCATGGTTTTGGATTAATATACAGTAAGAGTTAAAATGCAATGTTGTATCATAATTTATTCAAAATTTGGAATTGCACACTAAAAGAGAACTTAAACCCAAAAAGTAAAAAACTTGATGTTGATGGGCAACCTTTAAAAATTATTCAATCATGCTTAAACTTCACGATTGTTATTCCTACACATAATGTCACATAAAGAAATGGTACCATCAAAGAAATTTTTAAAAAAATTTTTTTTGCACCACCCTAATATATATATATATATATATATATATATATATATATATATATATATATATATATATATATATATATATATATATATATATATATATATATATATATATATATATATATATATATATATATATATATATATATATATATATATATATATATTATATATATTATATATTTATATAAATATTATATTTATACATATATATATATATATATATATATATATATATATATATATATATTATATATATATATATATATATATATATATATATATATATATATTATAAATATATTATATATATATTATATATTATATATATATTATATATGTATGTATATATATATATGTATATATATATAAATATTATTATATATATATATTATATATTTATATAAATATTATATTTATACATATATATATATATATATATATATATATATATATATATATATATATATATTATATATATATATTATATATATACATATATATTATATGTATGTATATATATAGTATATATATATATATATATATATATATATATATATATATATATATATATATATGTATGTGTATATATATATATATATATATATATATATATATCTATATATATACATATATATATATATATATATATATATATATATATATATATATATATATATACAGTATTGTGCAAATTAGTTTGAACAGTGACAAAATTGGAATAATTTTCTCAATATGCCCAACTTTTAGCTATGATACCAAAGATTCGCTTGTTTTTTCAGATAAATAAGTGTTTTACTGTAGTCTAGTGGTGTCTGGCAACTCTTTGCTGCTGGGAAGACATTCTAGCAAACGCATCAGTGGCTTCAGTGCTACTCCAGGCTTTGACGGGGGTTGTGACGGATTATTCACCTCGTATTCACAATGGATATCACTCTTAAGAAACGTGCAAGCATTATAGCTCTTAAAGAACATACTGGTTCGAGCATTAGACAGATTTCTAAGAAAATCAAGGTGGCTAAGTCAACCGTTGGTGACATCTAGAAAAGAAAAAAAGACACTGGTGAACCTTCAACACTGAGACAAGGAAGATGTGGAAGAAAATGCAAAACAACACCTACAGTTATCATCAGAGAAAGTATAAAGGATCCTAAGAAAACAAGTACAGCCCTTTAGAGAGATTTGTCCACATCAGGCATAAATATTTCTTCTTCAACTGTCCGACGAAGGCTCCTTAAAGTTGGCAGATTTGCCAGAAAACCTCTAAAGAAACAGTTATTGACATCGGTTATGAAGAGAAAACGTCTTCCATGGGCACGTAGGTATTCTCAATGGACAGCAGACGACTGGAAAAAAGTAGTATTCTCCGACGAATTGCATTTTGAAGTCCATGGCTACAGGTCAAAGTTTGTGAGACGAAGCAAAGGTGAACCGCTTTGGTCAGGACATATTCAACAAGCACCCAAACATCCACCTAAGAAGATGTTTTAGGGTAGTTTTAGTGCTAAAGGCCTTGGACGACTCATTAACGTAGAGGGAATGATGAATAGTGATAAATACAAGACTATTTTGGAGACTCATTTGCTTCCTAGTATGACAAGGGACTTTCCTGATGGAGATGGCATTTTTTAGCAGGATCACACACCATGCTATACTTCACGTAAAATGCGCACATTCTTTGAAGAAAGTAGACTGGAGATTTTAGACTGGCCTGGAAATTCTCCAGACATCAATCCCATTTAAAACTTATGGGCAATAATTAAATTGCCGACCTAATAGTGTTTGGGGTCGATAAAAAATCGCTGACCTCATTTTTATGTTTTATGATAACTTCTTTATGTCAAATTTTTTTTGCCGACCTGATGCTGACCTCTAACAGTTTAATAATACCAAGGGTTGTATATATATATATATTTTTTTTTTTTTCATTAATAATTTAGAACTTACTTCTGGATACAAGTTAAACCTTCGCAACACGTTGATTTCATCAGGATACTCAGTAATATTACATTTCAAAATCTTCCTAACTCCACTCATGTAAGTTGGAGCTTCTGCTATAGTCTTATAATAAGAGTAGTACAAACCCTGAAAAAAAGATTATAATATATGTTAATGTATATGGTTACCAGAATAACTGATGTAAACAAAGTAAACTATCCATATAATTTTGAATAAACTAAAAATATAAGAAATATAATTATAAGAATTACAAAAAAATATTAAGATTTGAATAAAATATAAAGGGGCTTTATATCTTATTTCACAATTTCTTTTTTTCAAAATATTTGATCACCGTTGAATTTCTTTAGATTGTTGTGATTAACTGTCATTTTTTAATAATTACATTGTTTTTTATCATGCTTTATTTTTCTAGTTTTATCTGATGATTTATAAAATAAATTGAAATATTAAAGCTAAAATCAAACTTTTTAATAATAAAAATAATAGTAATAATGTGGTTTTATAATGAGATTTTATATCACAGTTCCAGGGCTCAATTTAATTTATTATAAAGTTCCGGACAAAATGTCCGATATAAACTTGTTTGGGTCAGACATTGTCCAATCAAACTTTTAAAATATAATTTTTACGGTTTTATGGAACTGAGTTGAAATCTTTGTCATGCTATTCAGTTTATTTAGGTTTAAGGTTAGTCGAGTGAAGTTGTAATTTCTTTCCTTATTATTTAGAGTATTTCATTGCAGACTTTTGTTTTTTAATAAATTAGTTTCAATTTAATATTGTATGTTTTTTTAAATAGACTTAAATTTTCTGATAACTGACAACGCTTATTTTATTTTTATTTTTTCTTTACAATTTGGCAATGGCTATTTTAATGTTTTAACCATAGATCATCCAGGTCATAATTTAAAAATCTGGAAAATTGTTTGCGTAAAACATCCAGAAAAATCTGGAATATATTTTCCTCTTAAATTTGCTTTTAGCTTAGTTGTTTCAAATTTTTTTTCCAAACTTTTAATAATTTTTGTATGAGAGATGAGTGAAAAAGCTTAAAAAACAAATATATTACAATAATATATACTTAAACTTGCATGTATAGAAAACATTTTGAATATCCAGAAAAAATAAAAGTTAAGAAAAATATCAGGAATTCCAAAAATATTAGGAAAAAGATAATCCATGTTTAACATTTTAAATGCAATAAAAAAAAAGTTGTTACATTACAAACAACTTTTAATTACTAACTTTTTTTAAAGTTTTTATTTTACGTGAAGTTTTTAAATAAAATCAAAAATTAATTACAATGATTGTTTAAAAGAAACTTATTATGTGTAAATTAAATGTTAAAATTTTTTTTTTAGTAGGTATGTATTTTTTATGAATAATTTAAACGTTTGAAACAATTTTTCAATGTCTTTTTAAAAATCTTTTAAAATAATATTTTTTTTAAGTTACTTTAAATTATAAATAAGTCAAATTAAAACTTCCCATGGTTTAATTGCTTTTTTTTTAATTGCTTCCCATAATTTAATCATTTAAAAGTTTTTTTTTTAAAACTGGACTTACGAATTAAAGCGTGAAATGATTAAAAATTACGATTTTAAAAAGTTATTTTTACATTATTTTTTTTAACTGTTTTTTTTTTTTTTTTTTGCAATATTTTGAAAAAAATATTTATACAACTTAAAAATATTATATTTTTTTCTTTTCATAAAATTAATTTCACTTTTCAATGACTTTAATAAAATTTGTTCATTTGTTAAACAATCAATAGAAGTAATTTGTTAAAGCGTTTTGCGTAACTTAACTAAATGTTTTAAAGATGAGTTTCAAAGAAATTTAACAAAAAGTTATTTTCTAGTTTTTTTAGTTTTATTTTTAAGATTTTTTTTTTTTTTTTTTTTTGTAAGGAATTGTTTTTTTTATTTTTCAGTTTTTCAATTTTTTTCCTAGTTTAAGATAAGCTTAACGTTTCTTTTTTCTTCTTTTTTTCTTTTCTTCTTTTTTTTTTCGCATTTCTGAAACATTTAAATAATCAAAACATCTAAACAGTTGGGGTCAAGTTGTAAACAAAAAAATCATTAGCATTGTCAGCAATAGCGTTCGATTGCACACCATTTCTGTTTAAGCTTTATTTTGTAGAATTTAATTCCTGTCGGTCAAAATGTCCAACTACTTTGTAAATTGATTGGACAATCTGATGTTTTAGCTGGACCATGTCTGATGTCCGAACATTAAATTGAGCCCTGTAATTCAAGATCATTATAATTATTTTTTATTGAATAACAGTGCCAAACAGGTTTCTGAATAAGAAACATATAACAATAAGTATAAAGATTGTTGATAGTTTTTAAATACAAGTGTATTAAGCAATACACTTGTATTAAGAACTTAATTGTTGAATACCGGAATTAGTCTTAGGCATTTATTTTAAATATTAGATTTATTTTAAGTTTTAGATATTGCTTTGAAAATCAGAATACTCTGCTATATTAATACTCTGCTTTGAACAGAAGAAAAATTTTTCAAAGATTATTTTTAAAACTTTTTAACACATCCTTATATAAGTTATAATAATTAGCAGAGGTTTTAAGTTATACTCGGTTTTTTTACAAATTTAGTTGGCAAGTTGAGTATTTAACATAATTCAGTCGGGTAAATTTTAATTTTAAGAACCTTTTCTTTTTTTTACGAAGCCAGTCGGTACTTTTTAAAGATTTTGCCCCCCCCCTCCCCTCATTTTATTTTTAGAATCGCCTCTGATTATGATGGCTAAATAAAGATTTATCAAAAATTTTCTACAAAAAAATCATCTTTCTTATAAAAAAAAAAATTAGAATATATTCTTATTCTTCTGATTGAAAAAAGTTCTTTATTTAAACATTAAATATTTTTTTTGCAAGATTAAAACTTTTTTTCTTTTAAAAAAAGTAAACTTTTTCGAAATCAAAACAAATGGTTAGATTCACAATACAACCACAAGCTTGCAAATAAACCACAAAAATGCAAAAAAAACACAAATATAAAAGATGTACCCTTACTTAATCCACCATGCGCTGACAGAAATTTATTTAATACACTTAAACAAACAACAACACCAAAAACTTATGTTTAAATCAAAAACATCTTTTAATTTACATTTTGTAATTACTTACCATTTCAGTGCGAAACGATAATTCTCTCTCGAGAGTTGATAAATGGGAGAACTGCTTTTGATTTTCAAACATATTAGATACATGTTGACTAAACAATAAGAAAAAAGTTGACAAAATATTTAAATAACACTTTAATTCAAAACTCCTTTTTCATTTAAAATATTAACTCCATCTTGAGATTTTATTTTTTAATTTGACTTGATCAGAATCATAGCTACAATGCATCTACTTCTATGTAACTGTGTTAAAAATAAAAAGGTAGCCAACAATCAGTGATGTGCTAGATTTGCCAAAATAAAAGCAAAAAAGTGGAAGTAACATTAGAGATTACCAAAAAAAAATGATTACATTATTTTGATGTCACATTTAAAAGTAAGAACAAACATCAATGATAAATTTAAGCAAATAAAATTTTTTTTGCTACATTTATTTTTTTGCTATAAATATATGCTGCAGCCATTTTTCAAAACGCCTTAATATGCTTATAACGTATTTCAGTCATAGAAATAGGATTTTATTTCAATTTTTTTTAAACTCTTTTTTTTTAAAGATATATGAAATATATATTTTATGGGATGTATAAAAATGTAAATAAAAATAAAGACGAAAACTATTTATTTATTACTATTGTAATAAATACAATTTTTTATTTGTAAAAATGATATATCTGTACAATTTTTATATATTTTATGCATTTGCATGCAACATAGTTAAAATTAATTAAAAAATGTAAGATAAATGCAAAAGGAAACTTGACGCATAAAGGATTATTTTGCCACAAACTGATGTCAATTCACAAAATCTTTTTGGCTTAACTTTTAGATTAGTGTTTAATATTATTCTTAAGTTCTTAATCATATTCATAAGAATGAATTTTTTTTTTATGACTATGTTTTAGTGCTCTAAGATCTTCTTAGTTCCATTTGTATAGTGTTACATACAAACGTCTATAAGTCTAAACGCCTTTAGCATATGTTGAGTTTGCAGGCATTATATGGAATAATCGTGTATATCTATATATTTATAAAATGAGAAAACTTTAAAATTTAATTTTAAATTTTAGAAATTTTTTTGCTATATTATTATTTTTTTGCTATAAATATATAAGCAAGATTAAAAAAATTTTGAAATTTATTATGCTAAGAGGAGGTCTTAAACCCTCCAAAACAACACTGATGACAGCGCACTTAACCACTGAGCTATCAATGAAATGCATTTAGCAGAAAAACAAACCTAATCATAAATCTCTTATAAGCCCTATGTATGCGGAAAAGGTGCGCATGATAAGTTTTTTGCTGTTAAAGTTTTTTTTCAGAATAAATTATTTTACTAAAAAATATTGAAGTAAATTTACTATTCCTTATTTACGTAAATAAGGAATAGGTATAGAAACTGGTAATGACCTGTATTTTATGGATCCGGAAAGCTAAGATATATAAGGAAGAAGTATAGAAAAGTTTGGTTTGGAATAGATTTAGAAAGACCCGTATTTTTATGGGTCCGATCTCAGCTAATATTTACTTAGTAAAACAGTAAAAGTTAATACATATGGTTTTTCTATATAATAAACTTATTCATAATAGTTATATATATTTAAAATATTTGCTTAATTAAAAAAAAAAATTGTATAACAAAATTTTACATAAGTTTTAACATACAACTAAAATGATTAATTTAAGATGCCTAATAATTCAGAAGACAAGATATATAACACTAAAATAATAAAAAAAAAGATCTTGGTATATATGAATCAAATGACCATAACTGGAATAACCACATAAAAAATGTCATAAATTAGAGAATAACCCAGCTCTAGAAGCACTCATTACTCTATATGTGGATCCACAGTTTAGTTTGGAAATCAAATCTCTAACATCTGGAGTTTGTTCAACATGTAAAAAATGTCTTCATTTAAAAAAGGTTAAACAAAAGTTTATCATTAATGCTTATTTATTGATGATACATGAAAATGTAAATTTATACGACCCTTATTTTGAGGGCTGTTTATATAAACATACAATTCAGAAGATGTTGTACTTGTTTTCATACAATTCAGAAGATGTTGTATTTGGTCCTGAACCGTGGGAACTAATAAAAGAAATTTGGGAACACAGAAAACTTAATCACTACAATTGCTTCATAAGAGTTGGTATTGATGAGGGTCAAGGTTAACTGAAAGTCATAATGAACATCTTGAATCCAGAAGAGTTACAATCAGAGAAAAGAAACATGAAAAATACAGGGGTTAATACAGTTCTTATTTTGGGTCTTGTACATGGAATACAAGAAAGTAATTATAATTTGGAGAGGCTTATAACGTTACTTAAGCTAAATGAGCTAAAATACACAGTAGCAACTGACATGAAGCGTATTAATTGTTTACTGGGCATTTCTGTAAGTTAAAAATTAATTACTTGTACGTGTAATTGCATGATAATTCATAAAAAGTTATTGTTTTTTTATTTTTTTATTAATATTAAACTTAATATTTAGATAAAGTCTTTTTTAATACTAACACTTTAATTCACACGGGGGAAATTATGCTTGCCGTTATTATGAAGGATAAAAAGATGTTCAAAATGACAAAAATGAAAAGGTCAAAATGACAAAAATGGAAACGTCAAAATGACAAAAATAGAAAGGTCAAAATGACAAAAATGAAAAGTTGAGGACTTTTCAAAGTTTGACTAATTGGCATCAGAAATTAATTGAGGATGGTGAACTTTATAAGCACATGAAAAACTATTAAAATGTTGTTCAACCATGTCTAATCTAGGAGTCTGGAGAAACTTTTGTTATTGATATAGTTCCGCCTCCTGAACATTTGCTTGAACATATTTTTACACAAATAACAGATGTTCTGATGGCTGAGGAATTAACTAAAAAGTTCTAAATTAGTAAAACTGTAACAAGGTTACAATGGAGGAGGATTTGATGGACCTAACTATCAATAAGTACTTTCTCGCTTGGATGAATTTATAATTATAGCTTCTTTCCTGATGATACCTTGCATTGATACTTAAAGGGAGTTCAAAAAGGGTACGTAATTAGTTAATTCTTTTTCACCTATAGTTTATACTATATTTATTAGTTTTTATAAACATAACTTTTTTAAACTTGTTCATTTTAGTGACAGAAAGATGTTTTGGAATAAAGCTTTCCTTTGAATTCAGTAGAGATATTCATGAATTTGTCTCAGAAATGTGCAACTTGCATCATTATCTGATAGAATACACAATACACAAGATTTGCCTAGATTGAAATTTCACATTATACAATCACACCTCATCATGTTTCTAGAAAGAAAAAATTAACCCTTGGGAATTTTCAGTGAGCAAAGCTGTGAAACTCGGTCTTCTTAATTAACCCTAAGTCTTAACATAGACCTCCTAATATGGCCTTGATAACTCGCACCAAAAGCATTAACAGGGACACCATTTATGTACAATATGGAAATTAAATTTCTCAACAACTATATATATATATATATATATTTTTTTTTTTACTTAGTTTAATTAAAAAAACAAGTTTTATTAAATATCTAAACTAATTAATAAAAACATATACGTTGAGAAATTTAATTCTTTTTTTCAGTTTTTGTTATTATTTTTTTCAACAAAAAAAAAGCAACCATCTTCAAAAAAATTTGTTTGATATAAACTTTATATTTTGTATATGCCCTATTATTTATAAGGACTTTCTTACTAGGTTACTAAACTTGCTTGCACTAAAACTTACCTACTTAAATAGCCAGAAACAATAGCTAAATAAAAAAAAAAAAAAAAATTAGAACAATCATATTACAACAAAAAAAATAACCATTGCATGTTAAAGTACTTACCAAGTAAAGCTACAATTAGCCAATACTTTTTATCAGTTGAAAATACATCAGATTTTAAAAATTCTTCTTTATCTTTGATTTGTTTTCCTTTTTGTTTTTTTACTGTAGTTTTGGTACTTTTTCCCATTTTACAACTGGTAATATATATATATATATATATATATATATATATATATATATATATATATATATATATATATATATATATATATATATATATATATATATATATATATATATAGACACATATACATATATATATATATATATATATATATATATATATATGTATATATATATGTATATATATATATGTATATATATATACATATATATATAGTATTATATAAATATATATATATATATATATATATATATTATATATATATATATATATATATATATATATATATATATATATATATATATATATATATATATATATATATATATAGACACATATATATATAGACACACATATATATATATATATATATATATATATATATATATATATATATATATATATATATATATATATATATATATATATATATATATATATATAGACACATATATATATATGAGTGTGTAATTTTTGCCAACCTCAAACACTTCCAGATTGGTAGTTAGGTCGGCACTGCAAATATCAACCCTAATTCCAAGGGTTGATATATATATATATATATATATATATATATTATATATATATATATATATATATATATATATATATATATATATATATATATATATATTACAGGGCCTATTCTAGAAAAAAAATTTGGGCAGTGGTATCCCCCATTCCAGAAAAATTCAACAGAAAATCTGTGTTTTTTAGCTAAAAAAAAATTTTCCCATAAAAAACATTAAAAAAAAAGATCTTTAAATTTTATTTTGGGCGTTGTCCAACTACAGTTAACACTGTCAAGAATAGCCCCTGATATATATATATATATATATATATATATATATATATATATATATATATATATATATATATATATATATATATATATATATATATATATATATATATATATTATATATATATATACACACACATACCATTTATATTTTTTTACTTTATTCTTTAACTTAAATTCTTATTTGGCGAAATTCAAAATCCTTAAACAAGTAAAATATTCTCCTAGCACTCTATGTTGCTCCTGTATTTAAAAATCTATAAACTTTTGTAAATTTTTTTTTAATTTGATTTCTAACCAAAAAATTATTTTTATTAAAAATAGATTTATAAAATTTTTTACTTTTATTTACTTTAAACATGTATGGTTAAATATATAAAATATATACAATGTTTATAAACAAGTTAAAATGATTTGGGCAACATTCATAAAAAAAATAAAATCTTTACAATTTTAATTTTGATTACCAATAATTTTTGTATAAAAAAAAAATCATGTTTGTTACTCAATGTATTGAAAATGATACTCAAGAATATTGAATAGGGAAAAACAAAAAAAACTAAAGAAAATGCCTAATTTTTTGCCTAATTGCAATTTGTCTATTCAAAGTAAAAGAAAGGAAAATGATTACTTGCTATAAATATTACTTTGATTACTGTTTAATATTTTACAAAAAAATTTTATTTGCTAATTCTTTATAAAAAAAAATTAATGACCATAAAATGATAAATAATAATGGCAGATAACTTTGAGCCAGTTATATTTAAAATAAACAAGGTCCCAAGTGTACAAGTATAACCAAAATGATAGCATTTTTTTTTATTATTAGAATCATTATATAGATTCTTTATAACTCTGATAAATTACATACTTGAATCAATTCTTCAATGTTGTAATTTGAAGAAAACTTTTCTTCAGAACAATTTATGTCAACCTTTTCTTCTTTTATTTCCTGAAAATCTTGAGGTATAAATAAAAATCTGCTATATTTTTCCCACAATAATATATTAGTTTCATTAGCTTTAAAGAAAGCCATGCAGTGAAAATGTTCTAACTTTGTATACTTATATCTAACAAAACCAATACCTTCCAATGCATTTTTCCATGATGCCATCATTTTTGCATTGCGGTTTTGGTGAGACGAATCTGGTGTTATTATTATAAGAAGTCCATAAAGACGAAGAGATATATGTGCATTGATACAACATTTTAATCTTTGTTCAGGGCATGGTAAATAGCATAAAAGCAATGAAAATACAACAACATCAAACACAGCTTTAAGTAACAAACTATCAGTAAGATTGTCACGAATGTATGTAACTAAGGTAAATTGGTCAGATGTAAAGCTCTGAGAAACCTCTTTAAAAGCAACATTAAGAAAATCAAGCTTGTAAACATCTTGGGTAGCAGGAGCAATATCAATAGGAAAAACTAAAAACTCATTGAACTCTTTAAAACCATTAAAACAGCTACCAACATCAAGAAGAACTATTTTTTCTGTGATCAATGATTTCCAATCACGCTCAAAAATTCTTAATTCACTTTCAATTGTAAGTTTTTCATACTCAGTAACTATATTTTTTTCTAAACTGCTGTACATTTGCTGTTTAAAATATTTTTGAGCAGACTTGTATGCTCCACCATTATAAAAGTATTCTAAGCATACATTATAAGCCCATTTAATTCTACTTTGGGAAGTATCTTTGGGCCAATATTGTAATGCAAGAATAGACATTGCCTTCGAGTATTCACTTAACACATCAGAATCTTTAAGTAAATTAGCCCATACCTCATCAGGTGGATAACCTTTCTTTACTTTACTTCTTAAAGTTTTATGCAGCTTTTTTACAACTTCTGCATTTTTTGTTGCTTCGTCCATAGTAAACATAAAAAACTTTTTATGTATTAGTATATAGAAGAATCATTTAAAACGAAAACTTAAAACAAATTATTAAATAAAAAAGAGCATTCGCACTAAATTATTTATGTTATTTTGTTATCGCATTTCAACTTAAAATTACAAAACAAATCTTAATTGTAAAGAAAACTTTTTAATATACTTGTTCAGAAACTCAAGAAATAAATCGGCCAACATCCACAGATATTGTATGATGTTACTATTAATTTAACTAGTGTTCCAGCTAACCATGCCGCTTTTGAATATTACAAATTAAAAATGAAGAAAGTTATAATATAAGTTGTATATTTTAACTTTCTTTATTTTCAATTTGGAATGCATGAAAGTGGTATGGTTAGTTGGGATCCATCTTAAGAAAATTATTAAGATAAACAAAAAAGGAGAAATTTTATATCATTTTAAGATGTTTTTTTAATTACAAGAAATCATGTTTAAGGAAAATCATTGAATTAAAATACACTGGAAAAACACGTTTAGAATTACTACACACTGTATTACACTTGGTGCCTAGCGATTGGACACGCGGCGTTTTTTGAATCAGAATAGTTACAAATAGGCATAAATTATGTACCTTGAAATCTTTTATTGACATTTCTCTAATTCGATTGCGCAAAAGAAATGAAGTTCAAAGCTTGTATCTATTTATAACAACACAAGAAAAATTACTTTGAAAATCTCTATGTAAATGGTCAAAACATCCAAAGTTCACGACTAAGTTTAAGGGATAAAAAACTAAATATATTATTGGGTTTTACAAATAGTTAAAATTGTGAGAACTGTAAGCTGTTTTCATCCAAAAAAAACAATCATTTAAAAAAAGCTCAATAGTAGTTTATGAAAACTAATGAAACTTACTTGAAGAATATAAAAGTTAAAAAAAAATCAACGTCCAATTGAAAAATAATATTTTTTGCTACCAAAAAGATGATAGGGGAGAGTGGGGTAATGACGAACAGCTAAGCGGGAATGCGAATTAAAGACAATTATTACTATATATTAATGATATTTTTTGCTTATTATTTAGTCTAACCATTTGGTTAGAATCACTCAAAAGCAATTTTCATATATCTTATTAAAAAATAAAAAATTCGATTAAAAACAAAACCTTCGGTGTTCGGAATTACCCTACGTACGTGGGGTAATTCCGAACATACCGTGTATATATATATATACTTATATATATATATATATATATATATATATATATATATATATATATATATATATATATATATATGTATACATATATATATATTTATATATATATATATATATATATATATATATATATATATATATATATATATATATATATATATATATATATATATATATATATATATGTATATATATATATATATATATATATATATATTATATATATATGTATATATATATATATATATATATATATATATATATATATATATATATATATATATATATATATATATATATATATATATATATATATATATATATAAATTTTACAATAATAAACTAAATAAATAATGTATAATAACTTTATTTAAGAATCATCCGTGTGTTATCATATACGCTAGAATACTTTGAAGACAATAAGTGTTCGCGATTACCCCACTAAGATCGTTCGTTATTTCCCCGAATGAAATTAAGCGAATATATTGAGGTAGTATTATCATGCCCTAAATATAATACGTGTTACAAACTCCATGATTATGATACTTTGCAACAACATAAATAAAAGTGTGGTTTTATATACATAGTATAGCCAATACATAAATGTTTCGCAAATAAAAATTACATAAAACTAAGAGAAAAACTTAAAAGCAATCTACCGTGAAGAACCTGCGCATTTATAATACACTATTGCACGTCTGAAACTGAGCATGGAACCCACTCTTGTCAGAAAAAAAAAGATTGTCAGCTATCCTTTTCTAACATGCCTTAACAAACTTGTTCGGAGTTACCCCGCGTTCGCCATTACCCGACTCTCCCCTAAATGTTTTAACTCGTTCACTAGCATGAGAAAAGAAATATTAGACATTTTATTAGAATATTTAAATCTTTGAAAGGAACGTGAAAGTATGAAGTATTATTATCCTAAACATCATTCTGAGGAAAAGTTACCCAAAGAATTGTTTACATATCATTCATATTTTACATATCTGGTTATTGGTGAATCATAAAATCGATTGACCAATTATTTATATTATTAACATGGCTTAGACTTTTTTTTAAATTAAATTTTAATTCCTGGTTATTTAAGACATCAAAATCTAGTGTTTCAAGATCTTATTATATGGTCAAATTTGATATACCTTAAACTCGGTGCAATACTATTTTGGCCTAATTTAAATCACCTAAAACTTAACATGTCGTAATATTTCAAAGAGACTTATCCTTAAATAAAAGTTATTATTGACTGTTTTGAATAAGTTTGTTAAAGAAATTCTTGCACTTCAAAGTAGTTTGTTTTCCCATAATAAGCAGCAATTTATTTTTAAAGGATTAGTTGGAATTGTTTTTTTTAGGTGCAATAACATTTTATTAGTGAACTACTTGTTGGTATTGAAGTAGTTGAGCAATAAGGACTTTTGAAAAGAGAGCTATAGAAGAGCAAATCAGATATTAAAAAATCTCCATCAACCATTATTCTGTAATGGTTGATGGAGATTTTTTAACATCTGAATTGCTTAAGCATTTTGGTAAAACACCTTATATTCTAGCCTTTTTAAATGAAAGAAATTAACTATTACACAAAGAAGTTATAGAAAGTCAAACAATAGCAGCTTTATAAATTCATGTTGAGTGTGCCATATTTACTTTAAAGATCCTCTCATAAAACTGTAAAAATATATGAAATGTACATTTAATATACCATTTTTTATAATTAACGTTTACCATAATAGTTCCATTATAAGTATAAATAATAAGCAAATATTGAGTCAGTCCATATATACATAGATGTGTATATATATATATATATATATATATATATATATATATATATATATATATATATATATATATATATATATATATATATATATATATATATATATATATATATATATATATATATATATAGTATATATATATATATATATGTATATAGTATATATATATATATATATATATATATATATATATATATATATATATATATATATATATACTATATATACAAGTAGTTTTACCACCAATAGCTATCTGATGAGCCTACTGATTGTGAAACAACTTGTTGAAGAAAATTAGATTAGATTATATATATATATATATATATATATATATATATATATATATACACACAACTATGTATATAAATATGTAAATTATTTCAGTGTATTATACAAAAAGAGCGCTCAATGTTCTTAAAGAACAGAGCTATAATAAATCAGTAGAAACACTCATCTAATTTTCTTCAACAAGTAGTTTTACCACCAATAGCTATCTGATGAGCCTACTGATTGTGAAACAACTTGTTGAAGAAAATTAGATTAGAAGTGTTTTTACTTATATATATATATATATATATATATATATATATATATATATATATATATATATATATATATATATATATATACATATATATATATATATATATATATATATATATATATATATATATATACAGTGGTTTTCATAAATTTAGACGCACTCATATTTGAGAATAGAAAATTTTAGGTATTTTAACGATAAAACAATGACGAAAAAAGATTTCGGTTTAGTTTTTTTTTCTATTTATCAGATAAATACATACAGAATACAAAATTTAAAAAAAGTTTACAAAAAAAATGAAATACTTAGTAATAATTAGGTACAACTACATGGTATAAAAAAAATTAGACAAAAAAAATTATTCATAAATTTAGACGCGCGATACATTAGAAGGCGTAATTTATGAACCAATCAATATTTTGTGTATCCGCCTTTTGCTTTAATACAACTAAGAACTCTTCTAGGCATAGACTCAACAAGATTTTTGCACATCGCTTCTGGGACCCCATACCAGGTCTCCTTAAGGAATTCCTTCAGCTGACCAAGTGTGGAAATTTGAACCTTTGCTAATTCACGATCAATCCAAGCCCAAATGTTTTCAATCGGGTTCAAATCAGGTGAATATGGAGGCCGCGGTATTGTCATAATATTATTATCGTTGAACTACTCCTTTGTATAGTATGCAGTATGTGCAGTAGCGCTATCTTGTTGAAGTTTCCATGGTTTATCATTGAGCATAAGCAGGTCAATTGATGGAATTAGGTTGTTTTCCAGTACTTCTACGTATATTCTGGAGTTGATTCTTCCGGTGTATGTTTGGCACATACCAACACCTTTGTAATTGAAGCATAACCAGATTCCTATCGAGCCTCCTCCACTTTGTACAGTTGGTCTAATGTAGCTGGCGTAATACTTTTCGTGAGCCATTCTTTTGACTGTTATGTTAGATTTGCGATTGATAAGCTCAAAGTTACTCTCATCACTCCACATAATGTTTTCCCATTGATCTATTGTCCAATACCTTCTTTCACGACACCATTTTAGTCTCCTTTGTTTATCATGTGGACGCAGAAGCGGTTTTTTCAAAGCAGTGTAGACTCCAATCTTGTATTTGATAAGTATTCGGCGGACTGTGCTTTGAGAAATAGATGTATTTCGCGTTGTATTGAATTCTGTGGTCAATTCTTTGTAACTAATTCTTGGATTAGCTCCGACAGCTCTAAAAAGAACACTATCGTCCTTTCTCGTGGTTGACAAGGGTCTACCTGGCCTCGTTTTCTCGCTGGCACCACCAGTGTGAAGAAAGTTTTGTTTCGTTGTCCGAACGCATTTTTCAGAAACTCCAATTAACTTGGCGATTTCTCTATTACTTTTGATTCCTTCTTTGATGTGCGCAATAATTTGCCATCTTTCACCTTGAGTGATACGTCTTTTGCCCATTTTTTACGTTTTTTTAGTGCAAAACTAACTTAACTTTTGTTTATTTATTAAATAATGATTAAATAATTCCAGGTAAGTCATATTTATATAAGGTTTTTTGACAAAATCAATTAATTTAGGCCTATTAATGAGAAATATAAGAAAAAAACAACTAATTAACTATCAATTAAC